CTAGTTTCCACACTAATTCTTCAGTCCTTGAAATCTCCACTGAACCAGGCAAGAAGAGTGCCAGTTCAGAGAGGCTGACTATAAATTCCACCAAAATCAACAAGGTCCTACATACCTCCTACACAAGAGCAACTTTCAAACACCTCCACAAAAGAATAATGTCCTAAGATTCTCTAGCAGAGGATCACAGAATTATGAGGCAGTCCACATTTTTTTAAATCTACTATGTCTAAGCTCTTGTCTTTATATTAGCCATTGCGCAACTGGCAATATTTATTATCTTATTATCTTTATTATCTTAGCATAATACATATTACCCATTCCAATATATTTTGTGAAGTTTAATATTCTGAAAATACAAACTATGCACTGAAGAGATAAAAAGGTATCTATCTCTAAGGAAAATATAAAATATATGCTCCAAAAAGCTTTCCAGAATAAAAGTTGCCTGGATGCAAAAAAAGAAAAAGTTACACTAGCGGTCAGTCATAACTGCCAAAATAAGAGTGGGCCTAAAGCAGCATCCCCCAGTGATTATACATGTGAAAGATCATTATGGAAGACATTTAAAGACATAAATACCATTCAGTGGTATCATTATGTCACTAAAAACACCCCAATATGATGTTGGTATGTTATATAACTCTAGACCTTCAAATACATTAACTAATTTTAAGCTGAAAAAGCTAAACAAGATAGTGATCATGCATTTTCATGGAAACTGTGTCAAAATGATTTCCACGGAAGTCTTAAAAGTAACATTCCTGTGAGTCATAATCTAATGACTAGGAATACATGCAAAATAAAACTGAAAAAAAAATCAAGATGTGAACAAAAGGCAGAATCTGTATATATTGCCTAGCTATTTTTAAAGCTAGTGAATAACAATTTAACAACTTGCAGACTTATTTCAATAGGACTACTCATGGGAGTAAGCACTATACTGGGTAATAAACGTGGGAAGGACTAGCCAATAAAGGACCAACTTCCTCAAATTAATTCTTTTCTAAGCTTGCAATACCTGTTCAAGACCATGCAAAAAACTGATACAATAGCTAAAAACCTGCATTTTTTTTAATTCCATACACCCAAATTGATTAAACCACACAGACGTCATTTTACAGATCACATTTTTGCTTGGTACCTTTTGAAACAGCTAAGCTACTGAATCATTAAAAATAGAATGTATTTATGTAACAGAAATACTGCTGACAAACCCTTTATTGTAGTAAAAGTCATAGACAGCTATAACAAAATGTAGCTGCTGAGTAAATAAATATGAATTGTTCTTTATCTGTGCTGTTACTACACCGTAAAGTTACCATTTTTCTAAATTATTGTTTACATCTGCTAAAATCGTAGAACAAACATCCTGGAAATTGCATTTATCAACTGAATTTTTACAGTTGTAACAAAATAGACCATGTTAAATCTGCAAGCTATATGCTATCCTAAGCTTCATTACCTCAACATCTAAAAGTCAAAGAATTCCTCTATAAGACTGAAATTCCCAAGAGGAGAAAAGCTCAGATCCTGTCTGCAAGCACACAATGAAATCACAGCTGACGATGCACATCTTTTTCTGGATGTCTCCATATGCTCAAGAGGTTTTTTTTTCTCACTCTCTCTCTGTCCCTCCCTCTCCCCCTCCTCCTCCTCCCTGCCATGCATTAAGGGATTTGTCACTATCTGCCACCAGGAATATGAGAATGTTTTCAATGACTGAACAGAATGAAGTAAAATAATGTGTTAAACTTGAGAATTTAAAAAAAAAGTGAGGGCAAAAGCCACAGCAGCCATCTAAATTAACTGAGAGGGGCAAAAGGGTGGAAGAATCTGCAGTAATAGGTGTATGAACAGAATAAATACAAATGTCATCCTTTTCTTCCCAGTTTAAAATGTTAATATCAGTACAATGTAAAACTATGTACTGTAACAAAATGCATCCAGCCTTCACTCTCAAAAAAAGGAACAAGAGAAATGTCAAGTCTTCATGTAGGTCTATTGTGTATAATCAAAAATGCTTTACTAAAAAGAAAAATGCACAGATTTGGCAAATACTGTGCTCACACTGGATTATGTTTTTATTTTATTACTTTGAGAAACCTATGGCAATAAAAGCATTAAAGAAAAAGAACACAACAAACATGCAGTGTTTGGATCAACACAGTGTTCCTTATTCAGAGCATGTTCAGAAAACAAAGAGAATGTTTGTTTTATTCAATTTAGAACTGAATAAAAAAAAAAAAAGAATGGATGGTCTCCTCACAGCCCAGATCTCAGCAACTCCTATGGTCGCCAAGATACTGATTTAAGATTCTAGCATGAGCTCCACTTTATCACAAAACCACAGCTTCTGTCAATATACCAGTGACATCATCAACAAAGGAAAAGAGCAGAAGACAGTGGGCATTGTAATAGCAGCTGTCTTTTTCAATGACTTTGTTATCCCTGCAGAGCAACCTGTGCTCTTTTGCAGATGGACTAGACCCCCACCCCACACACTTTTACTTTCAACTTGAAGAAAGAAAAAAGTTGTGAGGACAGCTTAAAATTGCTTCTCTCCATAGTAATTCTCATTCTGCATCATTAGTAGCAATAACAACAAACTATTCTTAAGTCCCTCTGCGGCCTATAGCACTAGTGTAATGTTGTATACTATATTAGATATAGGTAGACCCTAGTGAGAGGTCACTTTTGTGGGTGATTTTTAACCATTTTCCTCCTCAAGTAACGTGGTTCTACATTTAAAAACGTCATATTCCAATTACAGTATCTTATTATGCTTTAAAAAAATGCACCCTCCTCAAATACCTGAAAACAGTAGAAAAGTGCAACAAAGGATCTAAAAGGATTTACAGATTGCCTTCCTAGAAAAGGGGCCTTCAGAGTGTGCAGGCAGTCATGCAACCTCAGTAATAGATGGATCCCTTTATTGTAAAAGTCTAAGTAAAAGTTTGAGAAAATACTAAGCTGAGGATCCTTCAAGGTTTTAACTAAAATGAATGAGTGATCGCTGTAATAAATTCACAAGATGATCATGTTGTCCTCCAAAGCACATACTGCACAATAACCATCAAAAAATTAAACTGTGTGCGCACTCCATAGTAAATATCTATTTAATTTCCTTACAAATGTATAAAGTGTGAAAGAACATATTTAAGAGAAAAGCCAAAAAGTTATTCTGAATATTACTTCTGTGGTTTGACTCCCTTTAGAAGGCCTACTGTATAAAACCTTTGGTTACAGAAATTAGCTACACTGACCAAGTAGTTTTCAACCTTCTTAGACTCAAGGCACGCCTCAGAAAAATGCCAGCTCTTACTTTTCACTCACTTTTTGACTATAGAAAACAATACAGCAGTTCTGTTGCAAAGAACTCAGAAAACCCACAACATGTTTTCAGCACTATGGATTCCTATTCAAAAGCTCTGGGTTTATCTTGTGAATCACGCTTGCACATCTAAAAGTGCTAATATTGAGTGACATCCTGAAAAGATCTCGGGGCTTCCCAGGGTGCCACACCACCCTGGTTAAGACTCACTGACATAAAACTCCCATGACACTCATCAGAAATGCAGAAATTTGCCCATGTCCTTAGCCAACTAATTTCCCCCTTTGCTTTATTCACTGCATAACATGGACCTCTCTATTCCTTTCCACCTGGACACATGTGCACATACCCATCTTACATGTAAGCGGACAACATGGATATGGCAGGAGTTCTCAAATTAGCAGGACCAGCGGCCTACTGTCAGCCCATGAAATCTCACAGGCCTTCACGCACACACTCCTCTCATCAAGCTTGACTGGAACCACCATACAGATGGGGAGACGGTGATATGTGGCCTAGCTGCACATCCTTCACTACCACCTCTGGTTTGTGAGCCAGGGTATGGGCCGTGGCACAGTACCACCCCTTCTAATGGTAGTAGGTCATTGCTGATGGTGGCAGGTCACATGCAGCAGGTCAGCAACAGACAGGGCTAAGCCTCAAAACATCTCTGCGAGAGAGGAGGCCGGAAAAATAACCCAAAGCTTTCCATCCAGTTGCAGACAAGCCGAAAGCTTAGCCGGCTGCAGCTACTTCTGCTGTCAGGTTAATAAAGCCAAAAAGGCCTAAAAGCAGAGATACAGCTAATAATAATAATAATAATAATGTGTTTTCAGGGAAAAGAATAGGTCCTTCCCTTCAGCCCCCTGCCCTCACACAGGGGCGAGCTCAGACTCCTTCCCTGCCCGGGCAGCAGTGTGACAGCTCGCCCAGCCCAGCCCAACAGACACGTTACAAAACTACGCTGAACTCTTCCTCCTCTTTTTTTTTTTTTTTCCGCAGAAATCTGCCCCCGTTTTCTCCTGGCAAGGGGCCGGGAGGGGCCCATCTTTACCACAGCGCCCTCCCCCTTCCCCCACAGTGCGGCTGCCTGAGCCAGTCCCCCAGGGGGGCGAGCC